CAGATCCAAATCTTTTTTATGAACCAGGCCCCACAATGTTCAACGGAATTATCAGGTTGATTGTCTGAGAATAAGTTATTTTGGTCAGTTCAGACCAAAACAGAACGTTTTCCTCTGTGACTATGGCTGAACACTAACTTCAACATATCTAGAATCATTATCTCCATAGTGAAGATAGTGTCATGCTGTGAGGATATGTTTTTTATTTACTGACAAGTACGTTTGTCAGGGTGATTGGAAGAGGAATTGGTCAAAATCCTGAACATTCCTGCAAAGACAAAGCTCGTTAGAGGAAGCATACAGTACAAAATATCAGAGTTAGAAACTGATTGAAAGATATTAATTAACTGGAATGGACCAAAGTAGATGATAAAATGTTTGGTAAATTGTTGCTTTTCACTCAAGCCTCTGGTTTTAATTGGTAAAAATGTTTAGTTAGTACTTTAGTAAAGCTGTTAATAGAGTCATATATCAGAGTTTCATGTGTTGGACAATCCTATTGAATTTAGACAACTGAAGTGGACCAGAGCTTTAACTTTATCAGAGAAACGGTCAATGAATCACTGGGAAGTTCCTTTTGGGAGAAAAAAGTGCTGACAGCTGATTTATCTCACTGCCACCAGCATATTAAGCCTCACTTCTTCCATCCTTACTTTGATCATCCTTTGTTTTTTTTATTTGCTCAACCCAAATGGTACCAAGCAGACATATGTTTTCCATTCTGTTCCTACCAAAGGAAAAAAAAAAAACACGCTGTCACCATAAGAAGTCTCTTACATAACCTCAGCCCTTACAAAATTTGAATCGTTCAGTTGGCAAATTGGGACGCTGCTGATTCTTAAAACCTTTAACTCTCAGCATTTAAATCTTCAAAACCGCAAAACCTTTAGGGCTCAGCTCAGTTCATTAAAATTAGATCAAGGGATTTTAGCGGAATCTAATGGTTTTTATCAAGACTCACATAACAAAACCAGCCACTTCCTCTCCTAACATTGTTTGGACAGGTGAGTGAAACTGCAAACTAAGCCTCAGTCCCACGACTGTAAGCTGCCTCAGACCCTCAAACCTTTCCAGAACAAACAGTAATCACCACAGTGGGGGAATTAAAGATAAGCAGAAGAAAAACCAAAGTCCTCAGATTAACCTTGTGTTAAAAAAATACTCAGAACTTATCCTTAATTCCTCTACTAGTTGTGCAGCAGATCTTTTGAGCTCTACTCTGTTGCTGTGATGGAACAAGATGCTGGATCCTGCTGTTACTTCAGCTCAGATGGCCTATTCTTGTCAGTGTGTGTATATAGTTCTGTTTGCGTTGCACATTTTACTAAACCTAACCTCCAGTTGTACCCCATGCTTTTTTTATCATTTGTGGAGGATTTTGTTAAGCTTGCAAAGTCTTGCTCATGTCTATGCTCAGTCAGTCTGAGAGGAATGTTGGTATTGATGTGGGTGAGCAGCTCATGTAATGAGGGAAGCAGAGACACAGTGAAAACGCTCGTTTTCAGGACTTCTAAGCATTTGATAAGTTAAAAAAACTGGAGCTTTCATAAAAAGTATGTTTTCTTTGTGAAAATCTTTTTTATGTTTGGAATACATTTCCAGCATAAGTGTGGTTTTCTTTACCAAAACATGTGTCCATCCAGCCTGGTATGGTGTCATTGTTGTTACGTTATTGTTGCAAGCAAGAAACATGTTTTGTTGATTAAAATAATTTAAAAAAAATATGAAATCCAGAAATTAAAACTTTGAAAAATATATTATATGAAACAAAAAATGTTTTGAAAGTAACTTTACTATATTTTCAGTTTTGTTTTTCCCCAAAAAATCATTCATTATATTTATTTGTCTTATTGAAATTTTTCAAACAAATTTTATAGAAGTTTCTACAGAGCCCTTTATTAAACACTATCGAATACAAACTTAGATCTATTAGATCTGGAGAAATGGTATTGAAGGGGTTAAGAATAATGAAAAAATCCAATAAGTTCTCAAAAGTGAGGCTATTATGTAAATCATATAATTTATTCAAAACTCCGTAGTGAGATATTTTGTAGCTGCAAGATGTTTGAGATGCAAAATGTAATAAAAAATAATTTCCTAAAATGGAGAAAAATAAAGCAATGAGAGGCCAACATGTAGGGACATTCTTTATATTGATGCTATTATATTAAGAACACCATTTTGACTAATATAATACGTGTATTGTGATTTATTGCTTACCGTTGCAATAAGCTCATGTTGACTTTCTTTCATTGTTACATTTTCTGTGAGGATATATTTGTACTCTATGTTAAGAAAGAAATAACAACATTATAAGAGAGGTGGAGTCAGATTTAAGCTTTCTAAAACCTAGAATGCAGCGATAGAGCTGATTCCTTCCCGCAATCATTGCAGCCCCAATTACAAGAGAAAAGACGAGGAAACAAAGTCCACTGGATTGTTTTTTTTTTTTTTTTTTTTTTTCCTTTTTTGGAATTTGTGCTTGTTTGGCACTTTGAATCTAAGAAGGCAAATGGCTCCCGACTTTTGCAACGATGAGGTAGGTCATAAAGGTGTTTTTTTCATTTTTTTTTTTCTTCATTTACTTAAAAATAAATGAATAAATCATGAAAAGCAACCAAAGGAGTAAGAAAATAGAATGGCAGAGATGAAAAGAATAAGGAAATTTGAAATAAAAAGTAACAAGTCATCTGCATATAGAGAAACAGAATGTCCAAAATGAACTTTAATCTGCTTGTAGTTTTTGAAAGAACTTTAGAGGGGGTTCAATAACTAGGCCAAAAAACAGATGACCAAGAAGATCACCCTAATAAGTCCTCAATTAATCTATAATATTCTTATTTTTATACGATTACTGTATCATTGGGAGGATGTGTTATCTGAAATTGGATTACAGTTCACCTTAACAGGTTAGAAAAGCTGCTCCTCACAGCGTCTGACAGCTTCTGGGTGTGGCATTCTTTTCTAAAACTTTTACTTTATTCATTCCATAACTTAAATCTTCTTAGTTAGCAACAGGTCCCGGTTGTAATTGAAGCTGAAGCCCCTTCCTAAAAGGCTCTCAGCTAATGAAAGTGCAACAACCTCCAAGAGTTAGCCTGGACAGAGGAAATGAAGGTTGCCTCATAGGGAGAGGCTTTATAACAGTCCGGTTTTATGGCAGCTTCCCCATGGAGACGGGGTCCAGTTTACTCAGCCTCCAGGCGCCTTTTGGGGATAAAGGAAGGCGCTAAATTAGGCGTCAGATACAACAGGCTGCCTGTTTTATCTCTGTTTACTGGCAGCTAATGTAGTTTATGCTTATTATCTTACTTCACAAGATGCCAGATATTTTTTATGGACATTTACCTGATGTGGTGAGCTATTATAAAACCATGGATGAGGGAGGGAATCTGCCCGCAGGCGTTCTTAAACAGCAACCCATTCACACATATAATTATAAACACAAAAGAGTTATTTCCAACCAAAAAAAAATAATGTTTTTTTGTTTTTTTATTTATTGGCATTAGTGACCTTTATTATTTGAAAGTAGGTTAACAGGAAATGTGGTTAAGAGAGAGGAGGGAAGACATGAGGGGGGGGGGGGGGGGGGGGGGGGTGTAAACTCGGTGACCGCTGCAGGTAAAGAAGTAGGTAAGAAAATGAGCCTGGATGCTTCCTCTAGCACAGGAATAGCATAGCATAAGAACAAAAATACATAACTGCTTGTGACACATGCTTATTTACAAACCCCTGCATATTTGACGTTTTATAACTAGGAGCTTCATACAGTAAACAGTGTTTTACGGTTAGGGTTATATATATATATTTTTTACTGTTTTCACCAAAGAAAAAAAAATCTGACAGCTTATCTCATAATTACAAGATACTGATCTCTTATTATGAGACTTTGATCTCAATATTATGAGATTTTATTTCATAATTACGAGATAAATGTCATAATTACAAAATAATATATCATATTTAGGAGATCAGTCATTGCTGAGCTATGCTACATGATGAAAAATGAGCGGGTTGTCGGATTTTATTTGTTTTTATTTCCTTCCTTCCTTACGAGAACTTATCTCATAATTACGAGATAATATCTCAAAATTATGAGATATTCATCTCATAATTATGAGATAAGCTGTCTGGTTTTGTTTTCTTTGGTTAGTGCAATACATTTCCGTAGAATCTTTCTTTTTTTTTTTTTTTTTTTTAAAGAAAGAAAGAAAGAAAACATTTTCATATATTCATAAATTTTTGTATTTTTTAACCATTCAAAAATAAAAGTAAATTTTCACTGAAACTGTGCAGGAATATATGTAGCAAAAATCTACATCACAAACCTATAAGCTGCAGAAAATGTTATATAATTAAATCTGTTTTCTTTTGAACTGAGTCTGTTTTTCCCTGATGCGAGCAGAAAGACAGTGTGTCAATGAAAAAGGAGGATTTATGTTTAAAATAAGAAGTATATAGTATTGAAATTATTATCTGATATTTTTAGGGCAAAAAAAAACATTTATTCTGTTGACAGATAATTTACCTGCTCAAATTAAGGGTTAATACACTATTTTAGAATAGTTTTTGCTGTGAAGTGTTTGACCTTTATGATCGTCAATTTTCCAAAAATAGCTGATCTCATCTTAGTCGATTCCTCAGGCTTGGAGCCAGAATATTCCTGCTCATATGACTGGAAACACGCCATAAGAAATGTTTCACTAGGAGTAAAAGGTTTTATTTTTGTGTTTCTCCTTACATATTTCCAGCTTGTTCTTTGCCCCGTGGATGGCTTCAGCCCCCCGATGTTCTTGGCCAGCCAAGTTGTAATTTTCCTGTTTGAATGCTTCCCCATGTGGTGCTCAGTCGGCCTGTTGGATAGCTTAGAGCTAACTATTTTTGTGGTTCCCATCGCAGCTTTGGTAGTTCTTAAAGACACGAGGCAGTGGAAATGAACAGAAATCATCTTGTCTGCTATGTTCCTTAAAGTTGTCTTTTGGGTTCTCCTTTGCTTACAGGTCTGGCAGTGTCATCGGCCATTGGGATGAAATCTTTGAATTTGTGAAGAATTTAGCAGAGAAGTTTAAAAGGTAAGAGATGCTCCACAAGTATTTACTGATGTTTGGTAAACCAGCTAAGACGCATTAAAAGGGGCAGCCAATGTGGAAAAATAGGTTTCCTGATGACGTCCTGTTAAAAGGATGTTCAAGTTTTTAAAGACAAACAAACTTTAGCATTTCTGATTTATTAAGCAAATCTTCCCAGACCAGTAACTAATCATTAGCTTGGTGATTTATACCAATATTAATGTTCCTGCAGGTTATGGGAGGAGCTCCTATCAGACATTATAGGTTATAGAGCCTCAATAGCAGCACTAAGTTTTGTTTTCATGTTCTAAATAAATCAAGTTCCCATTCAGTGCATTTCTACAATGGAGTATTAGGGCCAGGTGAGACATTTTTTTCTTTTCGAGAATAAAGTCATAAAATCATAAGAATAAAGTCATAATATTACGAGAATTAAGTCGCAACATTTCCGGAATAAAGTCCTAATATGAGAATTAAGTCATAATATTACAAGAATAAAGTTGTAATTTATGAAAACTCTGACATGATGCACTGTCTTAGCTAAAATGAGGAATGTCGAGCATTATGTGAAGTTAAATTTTGACATCAGTTTGACAAAAATAAGGAAATCTTTTAGCACCCACATCAGACTTAACCTGACTCCGCCAGATGGATTTGCTCCGCATATCCATCTGGAAACCTTCTGTTGAAGTAATTTTGGGAAGGGGCGAAAATACTGGTTAGCTGATTGGCCTATGTTGGTGATAGACGGGCCAAATAAACCAATCAGATCAACAAAGCATATGCCGTACTAACAGCCAGGCTACTCTTGCCGAAACCAGTTGGGAGAAGAGCAAAAACATCTTTTCCTCTGAGAAAAGCCTCCAGAGCAGTGTTTTGCTCTTCTTTCAGTGAAGAAATACTCTGTAATTCCGATAAAACTTGCTCGATAGCCACGCTAACGCTAGTTTCATCGGCTGAAGCCGCCATGTTCTTTAGACTGAACCGTTGCGCTTCTCGTTGCGTCACACCTCAACCCGCCTCAAAGCCAACGCTGATTGGACGTTCGTTTGGTGAACGGCTCCAAATTTTCTTCAACGGAGAGTCTCCAGACTGATTAGCGAGTGAAACCTTGAAAGCTCGCGAGATCAGGATGGTCTCACGAGGCTACATCAGACTGTGCAGTATGTCAAAGTGTACTCACGTTGCTCATCGGTGGAGCTGATCTGCCGCCATCTGCTGGCCAGAGCTCAAAGCTTTCTTTCTGAAACGCGTTGTGGTATAATAACTTAATTTTTGTAATTTACGACTTTATTCTCGTAATGCTACAACTGTGTTCTCGTAATGTTATGACTTTATAGTCACAATATTACACCTTTATACTTGAAATAAAAAAGAAATTAAAAAATCTCTAACCTGACCCTACTACTCTGTCGTACATTTCATTTGAACTCCAATGTTGCATTAATTTAGATGTCTTTATGTAAAATCAGTCTCTCAGAATTCTATCAAACTAAATGGAAACATGTAATATAAACACTTTGAATTACTAGAATATATCTTAAAAGTGTGTCATGTGCAACCCCTGCCATCTGATATGTCTAAACTAAATCAGTTTTTCATGAAATGCATCTGATTTTTAAAGAGCCTAAAGCAAATTCACAACGGGGACCAATGTGGTCCTTTTTTTTCATGGGGTCACATTAAAGAAACACCACAATAAAAAAAGTGCAATAGGATGTCTTCCATTATATGAAGTGAGCCACAAAGCCAGGGTTGCAGATCTTTCATGTAGAACAGCAGTTTCCACACATTTCAGCCTGTGACAAAATAAATAAGGCAACAGACTAACGATGAGGTCAGAATTCAAAGGTTTGATTTCAAAAGCTAAAAACCTACTAAGGCAGGGGTGTCAAAGTGGTTCCAGAAAGGTCCGTGTGGCTGCAGGTTTTCTTTCCAACCAAGCAATAGCACACCAGACTCCAGTCATCTAATCAAAGGAGTGCAATCTGAACATGATGACTTGATGAGATGAATGGAGTCTGGTGTGCTGTTGTTTGGTTGGAAAGAAAACCTGCAGCCACACGGCCCTTTCTGGAACCACTTTGACACCTGTGTACTAAGGTACAGTGGGATCTTCAACCTTTCATATCAGAAGAGCCATTTTACTAGCCTCGTGAGACCATCCTGATCTCGCGAGCTTTCAAGGTTTCACTCGCAAATCAGTCTGGAGACTCTCCGTTAAAGAAAATTTGGAGCCGTTCACCAAACGAACGTCCAATTAGCGTTGGCTTTGAGGCGGGTTGAGGTGTGACGCAACAAGAAGCTCGACAGTTCAGTCTAAAGAACACGGCGGCTTCAGCCGATGAAACTAGCGTTAGCGTGGCTATCGAGCAAGTTTTATCGGAATTACAGAGTATTTTTTCACTGAAAGAAGAGCAAAACACTGCTCTGGAGGCTTTTCTCAGAGGAAAAGATGTTTTTGCTCTTCTCCCGACTGGTTTCGGCAAGAGTAGCCTGGCTTGTGGTTGTGTTTTCGTCGTCGCTCTGTTAGTACGTCATATGCTTCGTTGATCTGATTGGTTTATTTGGCCCGTCTATCACCAACATAGGCCAATCAGCTAACCAGTATTTTCGCCCCTTCCCAAAATTACTGCAACCGAAGGTTTCCAGATGGATATGCGGAGCACTTTAGAAAAACAACCTATTAGTTTTTTTGGGGTTTTTTTATGATCTCGTATAGGAAATAGTTGCCAACTTAAACAACCAACAATGTATGTATTTTTAGATTTTAAAATAATATTAAAAGATGAATTCCAAGCTGATTAAAAGCAAAATGGCTCTAAAAATATTTCAGGTTCTTTTAATGTCTTTTTATTCTTCTTATAAAACCGCTAAAGCTTTTAAGACTTTTTTTGGTAGTAAATTATTTAGCTCTTTATTTACATTTTAGCCACTATTAAGAGCCTTTGTAGAGGGTCCAAAGAGCCACATGTGGCTCTGGAGCCCCCGGTTGCAGACCCACTATGCTAACAGTTTGTTGTTCTATGCCATCAAATAGAAATTAAACACATATGTTTATTTCAGTAATGTGGCTGTAGAATGCTTGAAGTGTTGATATTTTCCGGTATTTTTCTCTTCATGTTTCCGTCCCAGTCCCATGCTGAGGATGTCCTTCATCACGTTTAGCTCCAAATCATTCACCATACTGAAACTGACAGAAAACAGGTGATTCCCTTTTTTCTAACTGCACTGGTAAGGTCAAAGGTCTTTTTGTCCATTTGTTGACATGATGCAAAGGTTTGTGGGATCTAGGAAAAACTCAAACTGATCATCTGATCATTATTTCTTAAAAGGTTGCCTGTGTTTTTACAGACAGTTTGAAAAGTCTACCCCATAAAGCTCTGAGATACCAAACTGGGAGGAAAATCATTGACGTCAGTTTTCATTTCCAAACTACTTCATTGCCTCCAGTTCAGCCATGGACACTTTGTACTGATCCCTCAACCTTTTCGTGATTGTGGTGAACTGGTCCAGCCGGCTGCAGAAATATCCCAGCCATCCAGAGGGAAAAACACCAGTCCAAATCCTTCCTGTAATCCAGCTTTAGCAAGATTGCATGATTGACTCCAAAATACCCGTTTGGTTTGTTTTTATGTGTCTTTAAGGGTTTATTATTTTCAACAGAGCAAACCTTTTCTATAAAGTGTTCTGTGACTTGTATATCCTTGGTGCGAGTAGCTATACCCAAATAATGCCATAAAGCTCCATGTTATTGCTTAGAGACACACAGATTATTTAATCCCAAGCAAAGGTGGGGGAGGTCAGCCCGGTACAGTGGCAGCCATTCAAAATGGCCCTTCCCAAAATTTTAGATTCATTGCTCACTAACTGAAATATTTTAAGGTCTTTTATTGTCTTAATACGGATGATTTTGGCATACAGCTCATGAAAACCCAAAATTCCTATCTCACAAAATTAGCATATCTCATCCAACCAATAAAAGAAAAGTCAACCTTCAAATAATTATGTACAGTTATGCACTCAATACTTGGTGGGGAATCCTTTAGCAGAAATGACAGCTTCAATGCGGCGTGGCATGGAGGCAATCAGCCTGTAGCACTGCTGAGGTGTCATGGAGGCCCAGGATGCTTCCATAGCGACCTTTAGCTCATCCACAGTGTTCGGTCTTGCGTCTCTCAACTTTCTCTTCACAATATCCCACAGATTCTCTATGGGGTTCAGGTCAGGAGAGTTGGCAGGCCAATTGAGCTCAGTAATACCATGGTCAGTAAACCATTTACCGGTGGTTTTGGCACTGTGAGCAGGTGACAGGTCCTGCTGAAAAATAAAATCCTCATCTCCATAAAGCTTTTCAGCAGATGGAAGCATAAAGTGACCTTGCCCTTGATGAAACACAGTGGACCAACACCAGCCGCTGACATGGCGCCCCAGACCATCACTGACTGTGGCTACTTGACACTGGACTTCTGGCATTTTGGCATTTCCTTCTCCCCAGTCTTCCTCCAGACTCTGGCACCTTGATTTCCAAATGATGTGCAGAACTGAGCAACAGTCCAGAGCTGCTTCTCTGTAGCCTGGGTCAGGCGCCTCTGCTGCTGTTTCTGGTTCTAAAGTGTCTTGACCTGGGGAATGTGGCACCTGTAGCCCATTTCCTGCATATGACTGTGCACGGTGGCTCTGGATGTTTCCACTCCAGACTCAGTCCACTGCTTCCGCAGGTCCCCCAAGCTCTGGAATCGGCCCTTCTACACAATCTTCCTCAGGGTCCGGTCACCTCTTCTTGTTGTGCAGCGTTTTCTGCCACTTTTTCCTTCCCACAGACTTCCTACTGAGGTGCCTTGATACAGCACTGTGGGAACAGCCTATTGGTTCAGAAACATCTTTCTGTGTCGTTCCCTCTTGCTTGAGGGTGTCAATGATGGCCTTCTGGACAGCAGTCAGGTTGCAGTCTGACCCATGATTGGGGTTTTGAGTGATGAACCAGGCTGGGAGTTTTAAAGGCCTCAGGAATCTTTTGCAGGTGTTTAGAGTTAATTTGTTGATTCAGATGATCAGGTGCATAGCTCCTTTAGAGACCTTTTTCATAATATGCTTATTTTGTGAGATAGGAATTTTGGGTTTTCATGAGCTGTATGCCAAAATAATCCATATTAAGACAATAAAAGACCTTAAATATTTCAGTTAGTGTGCAATGAATCTAAAATATATGAATGTTCAAGTTTTATCATTACATTATAGAAAATAATGAACTTTATCACAAGATGCTAATATTTTGAGAAGGACCTGTATGTTTAGAAAGAAAAACCAACCTTAAACAAGGAGGGGGGGACTCAGATTTCAGCTTTCAAAAACCTCCACTGCAGCAATTGAGTTGATTCCTTCCCGCTATCATCGCAACCCCAACCCCTTTACAGGGGAACCAGAAGACCTCGTCTATTTAGCCAGGCCAACAATTCCCTTTAATAACCCCTTTCAGAGACATAGCAGGTATGGGGCATTGCAGGCTAACAAAAGACGCCAAACGACCCCCATTCCAAAGAGTCGGACCCGTTCGTCCGTTTCTGTTTGCATGTTTTCTAAACCAAAACAAGACTTTGTTGGGCTGCTGTATAAAACCTCAAACTCAACGCTATTTCTGACATTTTGAATTGAAAAAGCTTCCTGGATGGAAGAGAAACGTCTTTAAACTTGGAAACAAAGTCCAGTGGATTGTTTTTAACTTGTTTGGAATCTTCTTTGAAGACGTGCTCAGGACGTAAAAATATGTTTGCCAGTGTTTTAGGACGCGCTCTCAACATCAGACCCTTTATTTTTTCGCTCAAAGAGAAAACCATTTTTCCGCACCACTCTAGATGTTCAGTGGATCTTTTGTTTTCAAAAGGTTGTTTTCATAAAAATGTTATAGCCATCACCTGAACTCATCATTCAGAAAATTTCAAGTGTCTCAAACATTATTTTTGTTCTGCAGGGGGAAAATCCTACGAGGCCTGAATGCTCTGAGGAAAGAGAAACCTGGTGGGGATACTTTCATGCACCTGGGGCTCAAGAGTGTAAGCAAATATAACACCACATTTTTTTTTATTTTTTTTACAGTGTCCTGTCTGGCAATGTGGCAATAAGAATAAAATATAACATCACATTAACTTAACCACACAGCAGCTTAGTCAGAACAGTGTTAGGAGGAGATTAAACTCATTACAATGGTCTGATCAAATGTCCTCTAACAAAGAACATGTCTGTCTGCTTCTAGGCAAATGACCAAATACGCAAGGAAAACTTTGGTGAGAACCTGACCTCTTAGGGTTTTTGTCACTGTATGTTTCTGCCATCTGCATTGCATCTTCAGCTTACAGCTTTGGCTTGTGCTTTTTCCCAGGCACGGCGAGTGTGATCATCGCTCTGACAGATGGAGACCTGCAAACACAGCCGCTCATCGATGCACAGCAGCAGGTAGGAAACACGGATGTCCAACGAGCTTCAGTCAGGGACCAAGATAAGGAGCTCACTTATACACTGCAAAAACAATCTACAAATATGTATAAAAACTGATTAAATTAAGTGTATTTAGATAGTTCACCAATGGAATTAATATTTTTACTCATTAAATAAGATAATTAGATAGTATGCACTTGAAATATGACAATGCTATTGGTTTTTTTTTCTTATTTTAAATGTAAATTGTCTTGTTCCACCGGCAAAGTGTCTCAATTATCTCCTAAATTCATGAAAAAATTCACTTATTTTAAGAAAAAAATGCCTTATTTAGATTTAATTTTTGTGCAATGTAGGGAGCAGTTCTTCCATCAATGTTCTTCCTGCTTTTCTTGGTACTTTCTTGCTCTTGTTTTCCAATAGGCAGAGGAAGCCAGACGTCTAGGAGCCATCGTGTACTGTGTTGGTGTCAAAGACTTTAATGAAACACAGGTAATGACGTTTTTAGACTACACTCTGTACGAAGGCTGAGTCACATGTGCTTAAAAGGCTGTAAAGCTTTTCCAGGCTCTTATCTAACAGAGAAGCAGAACTGCAGCTGTTTATGAAAGAGTCCAAGTGTCCGAAGCAAGCCTAACCATGTCCACTCCCCTCTCTGTGCATCCAGACCTCTGTTTCCGATCACGGTTGAATTAACATGTGGCTGACCAAAACAAACACATAACAGCTACTAAAATCTGACAAATGTAGATTGGCATAAACTAGTTGAAAAGATGTTTATGGTCAGAAACTACTAATTAAGTAATTTAGTACAGTTGCTGATAAAAGCATTGGTTAAAATAATACCTCATCTTTATTCTAGCAGAAATAGGCACCATTTCATTGCAATAGTGCAGAAAGGAGGGTATGGAGTGCATTTTATTCCATTATTCTTGCAGGCAAAGAGCATATTTTATTAGAAATTATAAAAAAAATAAAATAAAAAAGCCTTAGAGAAAATTTGAAAAATCTTATAGTTTTCCTAGATTTGAAATGTTTTCAAATTATTTTTATTTTTTTTATGTTTTCATATTTTACATTTGTCTTTTCAAGAATGAGTTTTATACATTTCATTTTTTTAAATTCCATTTTACAGATCTTATTCTCTTCACTTTGGGGGCGGGCTTTCCTGTGCAAAATCGCATTTCTATTGGTCTGCTGGGTGTTCTGCAACCACTGTTTATTTGGACAAGAGGGAGCGTTTGTGGCAGGAATGTGATCTATAAAACATAGCCTTAAAAGAATATGATTCTTAAAACTCAATTTGAAAAAAGAAAAATAGAAGGTTAAAAAAAAAAAAAAATGTAATAAAAAAAAAATTAAATAGGAGCAAACAAAGTCACTCTCAAAACCTAATTTTGATGAAGACGTTTTTAAAAGTTTCATTACTGGATTGAATTTTTTCCCCCCATTTATAAAACGGGTTCTATGCTGCAACAATAATGGAACAAAATTCATGCCATAGTTCCTGGGATTCAATCATTGGTCTGATTTTCAAATCTCAAAATTTCCATTTGAATGGATTTACATCAAGACTTGTATCTAAAAATATATGCTAAATAGCACCCATAAAATAAACAGGTAGTAAATACACTTAAAAAGTAGCAGTTTTGTGATTTGAAGGAGATTTTCACTTATTCTATTGCTATGTTGTTTATAACAGTTAAATTATCTTTGTTAAACTGTCAAAAGGTTGGTTTTACCTCTCTTCTCAATCAAAGGAGGGCCAACCAACAAACGTTTTACTCCTCACTTAAACTGAAGCCATTTGTCCCTATTTTAATAGGGTCCAAGATCAAATTTATAACTTTTTTTGAAAGCCCTCCTAACTTTATACTCTAATTACTGTTTTAAAAATCATCTAAAGGAATTGTGCAGCATTTTTGCTCAAAATTCAGTTATATCAGTTATATTATATAAATGGTTTCCATTAAACTGCACTGTGAGCATGTAGTGACAGTTGACATTTCCTTGTATTTTGACGATGGCAGCGATCCCTCATTGCAAACATGCATGAAGGAACCTGCAGGAGCGTAACCTCCAGCATTGCACCTTGCATCTGTAAAAGGTTGTAAAGGTGTGTTTCCGGGAGTTGGGGTTTGTCGTTTCTAATCCAATTAGGATGCAGTCGATAGTTTGCGAGATTTTTCTTGAATAATTTTCTTCATTTGTTCATGGCTTTCCTCTTTTCTCTCCAACTCTAGCTGGCCACCATTGCTGACACCATAGAGCATGTGTTTCCTGTGCTGGGAGGGTTCCATGCCCTTAGGGGTGTCATCGACTCGGTAAACAAACTACTTTCTTTCCAAAAATAAAATCCAAATCCAAGAGAGGGAATTCACATATGCGGAGAAAATCACAAGAGTTACAATTAACAGCTCTTTTCCTAACTTTGTTTGTAATCAAATACACATTTTTGGAGTAGAGTCCAGACATTAGAGGCCACTTCAGCATAAGGTTCTCACAACATAGAAAGCTTCACTTTCAGGAACAAATCTTGTATCTTTAACTGATTACTTTTCAGGAAATTAAGGAACTTTAATTCTATGAGAAAGTGTTGCCATGTCAAAGTTGATGCAATTTGGTTAGCAATAGCTGTTAGCTTGTACGTGACTAAGTACTGGCTAAACATATAGGTACAAAGGGCTTCATCGACCCATGGGAAAGGTCTGGAGGATAGTTACACCCCGCCTTATATGACATTTAGTCGCTCAGCCATTATTGGTGGTACGCTATGAAGCAGCCACAGATGCCCTGGGGCACTCTGCAAGGATTCTGCCAAACACATCAAACTCAAGCCCCACATCAGAGACAGCAACTAATTTGGCTCAAGGAGCACAGGAAAAGTATCTGGTAGAGCTGAACCTACAACGGTCACCCCAAGGAGCAAAGGAACCATATCTCGAGGAGCCAAACCCTAAGGGCCACTTCTGCAAACACTGTAGTCAAATGTGCAATTTGTTTACTGAGACAAAGACAACCCTTTCTGAGCTGCATCAATAAGCACATAATCAGTCAAACAAGTTAGTTGATCCTATGATCCTAACAGGTAAGATGAACCAATATGGCAGGCAATGGCTTCACTTCAACCCCATACAACCAATGGGCAATCAGCAATCCAGTGAATAAATAGGGATCAGTATGGTCGGATCCAAGATGGCCGCCCTCTACTGGGCTGCCATACTTAAGGTGACCAGATTTCTGAAATCAAATCTGGGGACATTTCTTGCTCGTGGATAAAAATCAATACATCTTATCGAGATGAAATTAGGAAACGGGGACAGTAATGGTTTCATATATTTTTACGTATTTATTAATATTTAAACAACAAAAATCAAGTGTAAAAGCCAGGAATGTGCCTTTCCAAACGTTTAGTATATCCTAAGATTAATAACATGAATAGTGTTATTAGTAGAAAACTAGAACTGTGTCTCTGGGTTGGGGCAAAGTGGTGGGGGTGGGAGCGGAGGGGTCAAGGGTCATTAGCAGGGCTTTCCAATTTTGGAGGCCCAATGAGCTCTGCCGCCTCCTAAGGGGAGAGTGACATGAGGAAAAGAAATTTAGAAAAGTAAATACAAACATTTATTCCATGCCTGTGGCTGTCTGTTGAGACAGAGTTTCCCCACCTCTTCAAAAAAGTGCAACAAATACTTATTCTGTTTACATCTACTTTACATACCTATAAGAAATATTTTTTTTCTTCATTAACATAAAAAAAACAAGTAGTAGTCAAGCCTGCAGGTAAAGGTTCATATATGTTTCTTACTGTCACCTAGCCAGATCAATTAAATTTAGTTTATTTATATAGCGCCAAATTCACAACACATGTCATCTCAAGGCCCTTTACAGTTCAACCAGATCATACAGTCAAATCGATACAAAGTTTTCTATCTAAGGAAAACCAGTTGATTGCATCGACTCATTGACTCTTCAGCAATCCCTCACACTAAGCATGCTTGTAGCGACAGTGGAGAGGAAAAACTCCCTTTGAAAAGGAAGAAACCTCCAGCAGAACCAGGCTCAGTGTGAGCGGCCATCTGCTGAGGCCGACTGGGGTTCAAGGAGACAGAAGCAGAGATACAAAAAGCAGCTGTATAAGGCGGCCCGGTCCAGGAAACACACAGCCAGGCAGACGAGCTCCGAGCCAGCTACCATGCCAGAGGACGAAGAGAGCACATCCAGTTAGTCACAGTCAGAGAAACAGGACTACACTGGAAAACAGGCCGATCTCCAACATCTATAAACAAGGGTGTTGATGGCAGCAGCACAGCTGATGTTTCTTTCCAGGATGGAGTCACAGCCAAACAGGAACAGACGAGGCAAAGCTACTCTGAGGAAAAGCAGAGAGAGCAGAACGTTAGAGATTGAACTAACAGATTCTGCAGAGTGGGAGAATAGAGATAGAATGAAGCAGAATGATGAAAAAGGGGTCCCTATGTCCTCCAGCAGTCTAAGCCTATAGCAGCAGAACTATAGAGATAGATCAGGATAACCTGAGCCACTCTAACTAGAAGCTTTATCAAAAAGGAAAGTTTTAAGCCTAGCCTTAAAAGTAGACAGGGTGTCTGCCTCACGGACTAAAACTGGTAGTTGGTTCCCCATCAGGGGCCTGTGTGTCTCAAAGTAGCAGGTTCATTTTTCCTACTAACCTGAGTATACAGCCACTCTGTGTTCCACAGCATACTTTGCACACTACATCACTCAATATGTTAGTTTATCACTCAAATCATGTCAACGCTTTATCACTTGAACTTTCTTAATACATATTATACATTTTAAATGTTTGAAACAGAAATATTAACTGAACAGGGTCTGAGGCAGTGGCCCTGGTAATTTGGGTAAAATAATATAAGAGAAGACATAGCAAGTAAAAAGCAAAATAACCTTTTTAATGTCTTAAACAAGTTTAACCATTGAACAGCAGAATAGGCTTAACATCAACACAATGTATATAATCCAAGAATAGTCCATATTTATAAACAGCAATAACATATACATATATAATTTCCTTCTTTTCACAGCTTCTGTATTGTGCATTAAGGCTTCCTCTTATGTTTCCTGCTCTCTGCTTTACTCCTCAAAGTAAATTTTTCTCCCTTCTTGTCAACCGTTTTTTCTATCAGAGTTCCTAGTTTCCTCCTCTCTCATTCAATCTCCTTTCTGTCTTTCTATCTTCTTCCTCACTCCTCCAGCATCAATCTTACATTATTCTAAAACAGAGACATTATATAATCAAAATCACCTCCAAAAAAATTAGGATGTGCAACATGAAAACTTATTATTATTAATATCTCATCTAAATACTAAAAATGCTAATTACCACAATATTAGGAGCTACAAGCAAAAACCACATAATAAATGGCCATTAAACAGGTGGTTATCTCCATCATTCTCAAATCATGTAGATCTTGTCTTATTCAGTTCTCCTGTTACTGACTCCTATTTTTTCACAAGGAACTTTCATATATATCCAAACTGAGCAGAAAAAAAGCACACCAAAAACTGGAAGTCTATGCTCATAAATCACAACCATAAATCATCAAAACAAATTGAAATAACTCTACTTATAATAACTATCTGAAATATAAACTAAAGGTCACCTATCCATTCTAAATCATCTTTATACAAACCCTTGTTGATCCCTGGAGAACCAGTGTACAGCGTATTAGCGCCTTACAAGGAGTTTTCAATCATTTTGCTACATTTTAACCCAGCGTCTTTTACTCATGCTCAACTCGTGGTCTTGTCTTACTTTTTATTACTGTTTTAACCTGGACACAAACCAAACATTTATCACAAGATCAGGCCGATCAGAATAAAATTAATTGATTAACACACTTACCATCACTCAGCGTAGCTCCCCATCAGTTGCCACAGGTTGTAAAAAACGAACTTCCACTTCTTCTTCTTCTTCTGTTTTAAAAGTGATGCGCTCTTCTTCCTCTTTGTCTTTTAATGGCAGCTGACATCCAAAAGGATCATTACCGCCCTTATTGTGGTGCGCTCTGTTCCTTATCTTTATGTTATCAGCAGCGCAACCAGCTACCGTAATACCTATTTTTGCGCGCAACAGCTCTACTGTAATAACAGTCTACACGCAACATTTTTCGCCTCGGTAAAATCGGGGACATTTCCGGGGACAGCTTTAGCCGGGGACAGGTGGTCCAAAACGGGGACAGTCCCCGGAAATCGGGGACGTCTGGTCACCCTAGCCATACTGGTATCAGTATCGGTGCAACACTAATTAAACCATCACACTGTTACTAACCTGGGGTTTGGCTAGTTAGCTCACTCACATATGACGACCTTATGCTTTAAATTACCTGGTTTATTCTCTCCAATGTATAGAAACACATCTTATTCATACATTTTGGAGGTCTACAAATATAATATCTATGGTGACACTGAGCTGATCTGGTACCCATACCTGAAAGGGTGCTAGCATTAGCCTAGCTTGCTAACACCATGCCTGTCTTGCTAATAATCAATTCAACAGTTGGTGGGAAGCAAGTTTTTTTTTTTTTTTTGGGGGGGGGGGGAGAACTTTTACCTTTTGTGTAAGACACCAGGAAACCATGATTAAAAAAAAAATAACATGACTAATTACTAATTTTGCAAATTTATTTTCTCCTAAAAGTGATTTAACACCAATTAAGTTCATTTCAGAAGCATTTTATTTCTAAAATACCTGATGCTTGAAGCACCAAACAGTTGCTCTTATTTTAGTGACATTTTTGATAGCACTTCATTATGTCCATTAAGTTTTACCAAATAACTTGTTCATTTTTTTTTTTTTTTTTTTTTTTTTTTGCAGATTATCAAGAAATCCTGTATTGAAATTTTGGCAGCAGAACCTTCGAGTGTGTGTGCAGGAGGTGGGTAACTGAGAGTATCACAGACACACAGTGAATGGTCTCTCTGAGTCATTGAATCATCTTTGAATCAGTCTGGGAACTGGGTTCATTTAATCAGGAAGCAGTTTGGTTTGGCTTCATTTTTTTATGACTATCCCAGACTGGAGAAGACCACATGCAGCCTGGCAGGTCACTTACCGGAAATCTGCTTAGACTGGGTGCTAATGTCACCGGGGCGAATTAAAGGGAACAACCGTGAGAACGGAGCTGCAGTTAAAGGAGATTAACTAGAAATGAAATATACTGCAGATATTTTTCGGCATAGAACCACTGGAGAGACAGAGGTTATGACTTTTTTAAGGGTAAAAGCAGAGGAGCTGTCTGCTTTTTAAATTTATTGCTTTTTATTTAATGAAACAAGGAACAATTTAACCACTTAGAATTAGACCAGGATATTTATTTTCATTTCCTTCCCTAAATGTCAGCTTCCCTTAATAATAGAACCCTGATCTGTGCCTCCTTTTATGCATGATATTTTTACAGGCTTCCCTTCATTCAGATCCTTCTTCCTTCAGTTTAATTGCTTAGATTGATAAAAAAAAAAGAAAAGAAAGTTCAATGTGTACCAGGATGATTTAGATTCTTCTATTACCAACAGGTAAATGCTCAATTTTTTGAAGGCCTTGCATTTAATTTTAATATATATATTTTTAGATATTCTTTTGAAATATAATTAGTTTTTTTACTACTTCTAAAAACAAAGCAAGGGTCTAGTTTGTACACGTCCTCACCTCGGAGTCTCCTCTGAAGATAATCCCACCCAGCAAAAGTTGGTTGAAAAGACGACATGATTTACGTCCAAACGACGTCTAGATTTGGTTGAAAAATGAAAGGTGAAAAACTGTAAGTGGGACAAAAGCAGACCAAACGAACACAGCCCAATTTTCAACAACTATTCACGGAATATTACAAGATTATGAAGGACCGACCGGATTTAGCCTGAAATCCTTCGCCTAAATGACGTCTGGTGTTTAGGAGAAAACAACATTGATCAACCCATTTAATGGATATATTATTAAAAACCATCAATTTATTTAAACAGCACTAATGCTCACAGCTTTATCATCAAGACCTCAAATGAAAATCTTGTGATTTATTTGGAAAATATAGCTGTTAGTTTATTTTATTCAGATTTACCATAAGATGTTTTTGGCGCCTATCAGTTTTCAGCCACCCCTCGGTGAACATTGGCCCCCTTCCTGATCACCCCTATTAAACTTTTCTGGGACCGCCACTGTTCAGTCACCATGCTAATGTGCCCACCTATGGAAATCCCTTAGCCATCCCTTGGCCACCGCAGTAAAAATGTCCTAGAACCGCCTCTGCATGACATTTAGGTGGAAACACAGTTATAGCCTCAACCGGCACAAAGGGGTAACTTTAAAGCCGTATTTACTTCATTCATACCGTATTTATGGTGGAAAACAATTATTTAGACATGGCTAATATATATATATAAGATATATTTGAGTATATTTGTGACATGTTTCATACTTAGAGATTATGGAGCAAATTCTGTTCCATAACTGTTTTTAGCTAAACACAATATAAATAAAAATGCTTTATCTTTAAAGATATATTTTTGCAATTTTTTTCATATTTTCTTTTAAATATTTACATTTTACAAGAGCTTGTTTTACAGATTTCCCTTTTCCAGATTGAAGTTCAAATTAGATTTAACTCAATCTGAGAACTTGAATGTTAAAAAATAATAAAAAAATTGAGAATATAAAATCTTTGAAAATCATTGGAAAAAAAATTGGAAAAATTAACAAATGAAACAGAAATTTGAAAATGAAAGATTTAAAACCACAAATTCTCAAACCTTTTTTGGGGTAAAATGTTTTTCAAACATTTATTTTTGGATTGCTTTTTAATACTATATTTCAACATACAATATATATATATATATATATATATATATATATATATATATATATATATATATATTTTTTTTTTTTTTTCTTTCATTTACAAAACTAAAACCTTGCTGACAATAATAATGGAACAAAATCCATGCAATAAAACTTGTGATGTGTTGTGCTACCAGAGACATTTCAAGTTGTGGTCAGAGGAAACGGATTTCTCCACGCAAGAAACATCGACCAGGTGCTCTGCAGCTTCAAGATCAACGATACTGTCACAGTTAGTGAGTAAACCATCTCCAGAGATCAGTTCATATATTTCTATATATTTGGAATTGGAAAGAAGTATAGTTGAAATGAACTAAATTGGTCTAAGTTGAACCAATTCTACTTTTTTACTCTTCATTTAGGTGTTTAACTTTTAGTTTCATTCCAAATATTGAAAGGATTTTATCAATATTTTATGTAACAGGTTTTTTATATTGGTTTAACAATAAAGTAAACAAACTGTGACATGCATTTTTATTCAACCACTTTTACTCTGTTCCCCCTAAATAAAATACAAGAGGTCAGGGAATTCTAATTTGGAGGCTCAGTGGCAAATCTACCGAGCCATCTACCGAGTTTTCCTTATTTCAGCTTTTTATCAGTGTCTTTCTAGTTGTAATGGAAAAATAACCTTACCAGGGTGTGAATGCTTTTACTTTAATTATATCTTGTTTTTCTTTTTTTAATGTGCTTTAGATGAAAAGCCTGCTGGTGTAGAAGACACATTCTTACTGTGTCCGGCTCCTGTCATCGATGAGGTTGGAAAGTAGGTGTCTTCTATGTTTTCTTAGGGGGTTGCTTGGAAACAAGCGGTTCAAACGCCTTCAGGAACTAGAAATGTTGTCATTACATCATCCATATCCCATCTTTTCACTATTGCTTTTAAAGAATGACATACTTCGCTGATTTAAGCTATTTATGTCACCCCTCGAATCTTTTTGAAGAAATTATAAAATGGATAAATTTGCACTGTGTTTTCTTCTCTTGTTGGACCCTGGTTCAGAAAGTGTTAAATACAGAAGGAGGTGACCTCAAACAGCATGGCTTGGATTAAAGCAGATAAATGTGTTTAAATGGCCTAGTCATGTAGTTTCTATGTGAGCAAACAGGTAGAAAGAGATCTTAAAACACTGACAGGGGCATTTTTTGCTTCCGCTTCACAGCTGCGCTTCTTTCTGCTGCTCCGTCACACCAAACCCCCATCAAAACATGCAGCAATTCACAGTCATAATGTGACAAAGTGTTAAAATATTGCACAGGAATAAACATTTGCGATGGCTCTGTCCAGTCTGTGTCCTTCAGCAACCAGATTTGCTCCTATATCACATCTCTGCGCTCTTATTTAAATCAGAACCATGTTCCAACATCAACACTCTGCAAACCTCCCTGAATCAAGTCTTTATGGGGGGAAAAGTGCTCGGGGCCACAGAATACGTGGCTGAATGTATGGCGTTAAAAGCTTCATAAACACAGAGGGGGGCCAGAGGGGAAGGTCAGGAGACCGGTCTCTCTCTCCCTCTCTATTCGCCTCTTTAATTATGTTACAATTTCCTCATATTTGTCGGCCCTACAGCGGTTGGAATGAACTGAATCCATGCCTCACGCTACCATTGAGCTGCAGGCGGGAAACATTTGAAGACTGTGCCAATATGTTGGACTTTCAATGCGAATTAGCAATTTTTTCTCTTCACTGTCTTCTTTTATGGTCTCTGCTACATATGAACCCCCACCCCCCCCATCCGTCATTTTATTCTCTCTCAGCAGACTTGGTCTGGGCTGGATGATCAAAGCCAGCCAGGTCTTTCATGTGTCCGACCACATGTGTTTATAGCATGCAACATTTGAAGTGTGTGCTGTAGAAACCAGAGCTATAGGTGTTCTCTGGTCATCTTAAGGGAACCGCTTTACTTGATGTTTAAACTGGATTATTTAGTAACTTTAAAAAAAAAGGCACTAATAATGGATCCTGAGTTTGAAACCAAAGAAAGAAAACAATTTTAACCACATTGAGAAATTGAATAAAAAAACTTTTATCCAATTTCTGACAATGCTTTGCTTCCATTACTGTTCAATTCAATCCAATCCAGCTTTATAAATAAAGCACTGTAATATTTCTCAAAGGACCAAAGTGCTGTACAGTGAAACAACATAACACCATTACACAGACTCAAAAAACAATACAAGCATAAAAGACTAATTTAAAATCAGAACGATAAAATCTATAATATAATAAAATAAAAGTAATTTAAAATCATCTATCACAGACTAAAATCAACATCTAACACAGTTTTTAAGAGCGATTTAAAAAGAAGTAGACAATTGAATTTGCAATGGAAGGTGGTTCCACAGAGAAAGCAGGATGGCCCCTAAGCTTCCATTTAGTGTTTGGTACCTGAAGAAGCAGCTGATTGGCTGATCTGAGTGAACAGGAGGGAGGGTGCATAAAGGTGCAGCAACTCAGAAAGATAAGATGGAGAGACTTAAAAACAAATAAAAGAACTTTAAAATGAATCTTAAAATGTACAGCGAGCCATAAGGCTAAAATATGGGTAATTTACGAGTGCCAGATAAAATATGTGCTGCTGCCCTAACCCCCAAATAAAGTGTCACAGTAATCCAGCCGGGCAGTGATAAAGGCATGGATTACTGTCTCTAAAAGATCTCTGGAGAGAATGGGCTTTATTTTGGCCAACTGCCTTAACTGAAAGAACATTTTATTCACAGTTGCCTTTATCTGGTGGTTGAATTTAAAATCAGCATGCATTAGAAAATGCTTTATTGGTTCAAAAGGGAATGTAAATGTTGTAGCTCATAGCTGTTTTTGATGCCATCTGTTGTTCATAAACACTCCCAACCACCTTTCTCGAGTTTTCCAGCCTGCTTTAAATCTCTGCCTGCTCGTATAGTGAGGCAGCCTGGCTGAGAGCGAAGCCACATTTCAGTAAAACACATACTACTGCACTGCTAATATACTGGCTGGGTCAATTTCTTCTAACTTATTTCCTAAAGATTTCATTTTCCCATAATGATTGATGGAAGAAATGCTTGAATTTCCTGCTCTTCTCTCTTCACCTCCCAACTCAAATGAGTAATGCTGCCTCTGCCTCTAAAGCCGGGCATACACTGTAAGATTTCTTTTGCCCTTTTCAAGACGATTTTCCAGTCGTGCGAGAATTTTTTCGATCAAGCCGAGTTCCAGCCTGATCATGCATCCTGTAGTCTATAGGGTGGTAAGAGGCGATCTGCCTCTTATGACCACCTCCCTATCAGGAATCATAAGGTCAGGAGAAAATCAAAGATGTGTGAAATTCATCCTCTGCACCTCCTTTTCATCTCAGCTCGTGGAAGGAGTTGGAGTATTATTTTAGTTTTTCAGATGTTGATGAGCTGCTTCCAGGTGTAAGAAACATAACTTGCTGTGGTTGCTATGGTTGCTAGTAATAACAAAAGTCCAAAAATGGAAAGTTGGCTGCAAAAATCCTTCAAGCTGCAAATCATCCAACACAAGAGGCACAAGACATAGGACAAAAGATCCACAAAGATAAAAACAAAAGTTCTATTTAAAAAAAGATTATCAAAATATAGCTAGCAGAGCTTCTCCACCAGGCAGTCACCTTTAGCAAAAACAATTATAAACTCCTTATTAGATTAAAGTATGAAAGAGTGGGAAAGCGCTTGAGGAAGAATGGTGGAGATCTCATGGTCAGGGGATGATCCCATGGAGCTGCTTTTTCTTTTCCTCAGGTTCATGTCAGGAATCTTTTGCTGAAAGATCCAGCTAGAACCTAAAAACAAAAGTCTGCAGGACTTTGTCCTGCAAAGAGGAATGATAAAAGATTCCTCTCTCTTTGTAAAATGTTGTCAAAGTCATTCCAAATAAATTTTAAAAAATCCACTGGACTTTGTTTCCAAGTTTGAAGACGTTTCGCTTCCATCCAGGAAGATTTTTCAATTCAAAATGTCAGAAATAGTGTTGAGTTCCAGGTTTTATACAGTAGCCCAACAAAGCCTTGTTTTTGTTTAGAAAACATGCAAATAGAAACGGATGAACGGGTCCAGCCCTTTGGAATGGCAGTCGTTTGGCTTCTTTTGTTAGCCTGCAATGCCCCATACCTGTCTATGTCTCTGGAAGGGGGTCGTTAGAGGGAATTGTTGGCCTGGCTGAATAGGTGAGGTCTTCTGTTCTCCTGTAAAGTGGTTGGGGCTGCGATGGTAGCGGGAAGGAATTAACTCTATCGCTGCATTGGAGGTTTTTGTAAAGCTGAAATCTGAGCCCCCCCCCCCCCCCCCCCCCCCCCCCTGTTTAAGGTTGTTTTTTCTTTCTGAGCATAGATGGCTTCCTTCATGCCCCTCTCAAACCACTTATCCTCTTTGTCCAAAATGTGAACATTCTGGTCCTCAAAAGAATGTCCGCTGTCCATAAGAAGTAGATATTCTTCAGAGTCTTGTCCCAAAGCCAAAACAAGGCTGTTTAGGTCCACTCTATAAAGCTTTGAACTCCACACTATTTCTGGACATTTTGTTTTTTTTTTTTTTTTTGGGAATGACTATGACCTGAATGAGCACGTTGTCAGAGACAGCACGTAAGACTTACAACATGTAAGATTTTTGTTGCCATTGTTCGTGGGTAAAAACAACAAACAAAACAAAAACAACAAGTTTCAGTGTAGATGAATGCCACAAAGTGCATGGTACTAAAAGGTTTTTCCACACTTTGCTCCATGGATGAGAATGGTGCTGTATATGTTAAGTTACAAAAGTCATTTTGGAGGCCTTGGGGGGATTGGGTGTGAAATAGAGGTTATGGTTAAGTCGGCCACAGTATTTAGAGGTAAATGAAAAAACAGTGCTGGGTCAGCTGTTGCAGAGAGATCTGCCAACTTGTCTGTTTTACTTCCTTGTTCAACAGCTGTCTGTGACCATGCTCCCTACCTCTTTCCTGTTTGTTTTTATTTCTCATCCAGAACCTTTAATTCTGAAGTTTTCTCTGGATAATCTGTCTTCTCTGGGAATTTTCCTTTCTGTAATGGACTTCTGACCTCCAGGGTTTCACCGTAACTCTGACCTTTCGCTTTAATTTAACCAGCAGACTCAGGGAACAGGAGCCTCCTTAACACTAGGATCTGTGAAGGAAGAATGATTATCTGTCCTCTTCTCGTTTACCTTTGTGGACGCAGACATAGATTGGAGAAAGGTTCATCTTTCAAATGGGCTTCTTTCTCTTCACCCCATTGAGTCGCTGCTTTAATCCCCATTTCTAGGAACAGAACCACAAGAAGCCCCAGAGAAGGGGCGGTTCTCAGAATTGTTTTCCACAAATCGGAGAAAGATGACTGAAGAGATGGGGGGGGGGGGTTGGTTGTTGGGCTACAGATGAGGTTAGAAGTGAGGCATGAACAGAAGTTTGTTTTGATAAGGGAGTCTGTTTGTAAGAAGAGGCATAACTGAAAGTTGGATAATGTCATAAGGTGGATATAATAAAATAAAAAAGCAACTTCAACAAACAAGTCTTTCCTTTTCTGTTTTCTAAACCATATGGGAGCTTTATGCCTTCATTGCTGGGTCATCCAGTTACTCCCAGCTTGTTTTTTTTAATTGTTTTTAAATGAAGTGGGAAATTAGGTTTCTCAGTTCATTTGGTTAAAGGCGACTGAATTCCGGTTTAAATGAAGCCTGTAAACACATTTAAGCCGATGATTTGTTGGACAACCTTTAACAATATAACCTAGTGGACATTTAGCAGTTTAGCAACTTCATAAGAGACAAAAGACTCTCATTCTGGAGGAAAATAAACTTCCGACGAGCGGATTAGTCATCGTAATTTGCTCTCAGGCTAAACGTCTGTCTCCTCCATCTCATTATTTATCCCTTGTGTTTTGTGGTTAAAACCCTTTGGTTACAATTACAGTCTCACCTCATAGTTAGCTTAGCGTGACACTTAGGTGACGTTATCCACTGCAAACCCAAGTTCAAATGACATCATTCTTTGAAAAGAAACCAATGCAATTAGACTTTTTACAGACGATATTGTGATTTTTACACACTAATGCCTTTTCATGTTTATTTGTTTAATCCTGTGTTAAGGGTGATTTTTCTCCAAGTAAGCATGAAGGACGGTCTTTCCTTCATCGGGAGCAACGTCCACATCACTACCACGGAGTGTGTAAGTAATCTTCAAAAAGATTGGTATTTCTTTCTCATATGTTTTTTTCCCACTTTGTAAACATGATTTGGTTTATTCTGAAACACAAATTGTTGTGTAATTTTGAAATGGAAAGGGGATCTGAAAAGTGTGGCTTGCATTGGTATTTTGCCCTCACGAGTTGGAACTTTGCGAACATCCTTTTTGCTGTGATTCTAGCTGGAAGGGTATTTCTCTACAGGTTTTGTGCTACATTTTTGGTAAAATGGCTCAGTTTCATTTGAGTTGATCTGCTAAACAAATCCCCATCCCCACAGGATGATGCTGCCTCTGCCATGGAAATGAAGTGTTAGGTTTCTGCTTTTTGTACACGTAGGAACAAAAAGTTCCCCCCCTTGCTGTCCTCTTCTTTCTCTGACTGTGACTAACTGGATGTGTTCTCTTCATCCTCTGACATGGGAGCTGGCTCGGAGCTCGTCTGTCTGGCTGTGTGTTTCCTGGACGGGGCCGCCTGTGGAGCTGGTTGACAGTTGTCTTTTGTATCTATGCTTCTTTTTCTATGTCTGCTTCTGTCTCCTTGAACCCCAGTCGGCCTCAGCAGATGGCCGCTCACACTGAGCCTGGTTCTGCTGGATGTTTCTTCCTGTTAAAAGGGAGTTTTTCCTCTCCACTGTCGCTACAAGCATGCTTAGTGTGAGGGAATGATTTCTAGTCAATGAGTCGATGGAATCAACTGGTTTTCCTTAGAAAGAAAACTTGGATCAATCTGACTGTATGATCTGGTGAACTGTAAAGTGCCTTGAGATGAAATGTGTTGTGAATTGGCGCTATAGAAATAAACTGAATCAACCAGAGCACCATCTTTCAGGTTACATATCCAAAAACAGGTTCAGTAGGAACATTTTTGTAGCAAAGTATGAGTGATTTCCCCCTCTTTTCCTTTCCTAGAAGTCGGATGTTTCACTCTGTGCAATGAACCATTTGTCCTTTCCATCCTCCCTTTCTCACTGTTGTTGTTAGTAGCAATGATCCCTCTAAAAAGAGCCTCTGGATGCTTCAGCAGAGCAGACACCAAAGGTCAAAGTAGCGACTTGAAGCCCATGAGATGTATTTACTTTCCAGAGGAAAGGGAAACGTCCCGTAACAGCGCTGACTGATACAGTACATCCCGTTTCCCAGAATTGTAGCTGCAGATCAAAACAGAGTATAAGCTCCATACTGGGACTTTTCTTTTATTACAACCATAAATTCATAGCGTTACAAGATTTAAGTCAGAATATTACAAGAGCAAATTGTAATAATATCAATGTCATAATATGATGAGTTGAAAATTTTGTTTTAATGAGACAAAGGCAGTGATAAAGTCATCAACCAAACAGTCTGATCCGACTAAGGGTGATGACAGCTCTTTACTTTACGAGTTACATTTAAATCAGCTTCTTCTTTATTAATATTACAGCATTATTCTCTTTATATTACAACTTAATGCTTGTAATGTTACAAATGCATTCTGCTAAAACTTCTGTAATATCCCAACTTTTTTTATTTATTCTTGTAATTAATTCAATTCAGTTCATTTCTATAGCGCCAATTCACAACACGTCATCTCAGGTCACTTTCCAGATCATCCAGTCAGATTGATTCTAAGTTTTCTATCTAAGGGAAACTAGCTGCTCTTCAGCAATCCCTTACACTAAGCATGCTTGTAGCGACAGTGGAGAGGAAAAACTCCCTTTTAACAGGAAGAAACCTCCAGCAGAACCAGGCTCAGTGTGAGCGGCCATCTGCTGAGGCCAACTGGGGTTCAAGGAGACAGAAGCAGACATAGAAAAAGAAGCATAGATACAAAAAGCAGCTGTAAAAGGCGGCCCGATCCAGGAAACACACAGCCAGGCAGACGAGCTCTGAGCCAGCTCCCATGTCAAAGGATGAAGAGAGCACATCCAGTTAGTCACAGTCAGAGAAACAGGACTACACTGGAAAACAGGCTGAGATCCAAAATCTAGAAACAAAGGTGTTGATGGCAGCAGCAGTTTAATTGAATTAAAGCCATTCAATTAAATGGCTTTAATCTTGTAGACCAAATATAACTTTATTTCTGTAAAATTTAGCATGTTACACGCTACTCATGTTACATTGTGTTTAAAAATATTAATTATGGCATGAAGAAAAGCATATATTTGTTGGAACTAATTTCCAGTTGTAGATAATGGTAGCGATCAGAGCAGTTTGGCTGCTCCAGGTTTTAACATGTTTGTTACTCAGCATATATATGCAGCCATTTAAGGTAGTTCACTAAAGTAAAACACTAATGGTGGTTCATAATGTACAGAAACGCAGCAGCCTCCATCCAACCAAGCAGAATTATTCCCTCTGTGGGTCCAAACTGCAGTTGGACTCCCCCTGATGATAGCTGGGGGATCAACTGAGCACATGTGATTCTCATCTGTGGTCGCTAATGAAAACCATGTTCTGCCCATGGAGGCCCGCCTCCAGACAAAGGGAAATGTTCACAGATGGGCATTTTAACAGACCTAAACCATTCAGATCAACCACAGTCAGCGAGACGAAGAATAGAGACGCTGCAGAGACGAGTCTGAGGCTGCAGGCCTCCATTTCTCTCAGAGCTTTGGAGTTTTGGAGAGCTTTACTGGTCCTGCTACCATCCCTGCTAGCAGGGGCAGAATAACCATTCAACATAACTAAGCAGTTACCTAGGGCAATTTCCTGGGAGCCCCATAAAACTGCTTTTACATATAAGGTTAATACAGCTATTACTTATTTGTCACATTGATTATGTTTTTGATAAAAATCCTTTTGCTAAAATGGCATTAGATTAGATTATTAAGTGTGTCTCCTGAGATGAGATGAGCAACTAGTGAGCATTAAACCATCGAAAGAGATTTCCCCCTATATTGATTGAAGTATTTAGTTACCATATTGAAGATGAGTCATTTTAGAATAAAGTTTTGAATTTCGTTTGTATTTGCTACAGACGTCCAGAAATCAATTATTTAGGGGGGGTTTTCTCTCATATTGAAGTGGAAAACATCAGGCTTTTGGGTGTTGTTTCTATGGAGACGGGCTCATATTTACTCCCAGCTATTATTTCATCCAAATGAAAAATGGAGAACAGATAAGCAGATCATGGCTTGTCTACAGTGAAAAGAAGGACTGGAATATTTACTTTTGCCTTTTTGGAAACACAGGAAGGAGCAATCAGAAACAACAAGAAAAGGGACAAGAAGAGAGGGACACAACCTAGAACAAATAATGGATGTCTATTCTATTAACATTTCTCTATCTGTAGAATGGGTCTGTTTTATGTGTTTTCTTCTCAGACGGCCCCCTGCCTTTCTTTGCCTAGGGCCCCAAATTTCCTAAATCCGCCCCTGCCTGCTCGTTCAGCAAGAGCTGCTCTGCATGAGTTTGGTTCTCAGTGAAGATGTTTGACACGTGTCACATTACTTTATTCACTCAACTTTCATCCTCTTAACTTATTTACTAATATTTACTTTATGGATTTACTTTGTCTTTTAGTATCTTACTGTTTCTCCTTTTTTCTTGCTCTGTTTTTCTTTCCTTCCTTCTATTATTCCTTTGAATTCTTAGTAACTTCTTTCCATCCTTACCTCCTTTCCTTTTAAATGTAATACTTTCCTAACTTCATTTATCTTCTTTCAATCTTTACTTTCTTTATTTCCAAATCCCTTTTCTCATCGCTGATGCATTATCATTGTCCTAAAAAACCTTTCTGCCTTTGCTACAAACTACTTTCTATTTTCAATTTTTCCTTTTTCCATCTCTCCTAAGTTGTCTCCTTTCTTCCATTCCTTCTTTTCCACTTTTCTCTCTTCCTTCATCGATTCCTTTTTTCCTTCTTAGTATTTTCTTTCCATTTTGCCTTTTTTTTTTCTGCTCCTTTCTGTCATCCTGCCTTTTTTCTTCACTAACTTCCTTCCTCAGCTGTTTTCCTTAAGGTAATCTTTTCTTGTTTCCTGATTAGTTTCCTTCTTTCATTTCTAACTTTTGGTTCTGACTTACATTCTAAGTCAGTGGCTTAGTTTTTCCTCCCTTCTCTTCATCTTTTAAGCCCCTGTCACACCTTGCTGATTTATCCTGCATATTACTGACATCCCAGAATCTCCTAAAATGCTGGAATACACTGAACTTTCTATGGATTTTTTCAATTTTGGGCATAGAGTACATAGAGTATTGATTACGAGTCCAGAACTTCTTTCCAACGACAGCCTAACTTATGCATAACGCACAGCAGCGTAATGCCCGGGAAATGATGAACAAGCCAGCGTCCTGATTGGGGCAGCGATGCACCTGGAGGCGCCCGGCCTGCATACGAAGATTACTTTGATCACGATATTACTATTACGAAAGAGTATTAGGGCCAGGCCTGAGATTTTTTTTTCCTTCTAATTCAAGAATAAAGTCGTAAAATTACGAAAATAAATTAGTAAAATTACAAGAATAAATTCGTAAAGTTCTGAAAATAAAGGCGTAAAATTATGACATTAAAGTAAAAAAATCACCAGAATAAAGTCGTAATATTAAGAGAATAAAGTCCTAAAATTCCGAGAAACTTGTTGTGTTTCACGACAACTCCTACAAGAAGCCCTTTCTTCCCTAAAATGAGTAAGGTCGAGCATCCTGTGAAGTTATACTTTGGCTCTGGTTTGACAAATAAGAAAATCTTTTAGCAGCAGCATCAAACTGGGCAGGATGTCAAAGTGGTTGCTGATTGGTGGAGCTGGTCGGCCGTCATATGCTGGGCGGAGCTCCAAGCTTTCCTTCTTGTCGTGTGAAGACTTAATTCTTTGACTTTATTCTCGTAATTTTATGATTTTATTCTCGTAATAGAAGAAAAAATAATTCTCTAGCCTGGCCCCAATACTCCATCGTATAACATAGCTGCTGTTTACTGCCTGCTCCCCAAAAGAAAAGAATAAAGAAAAAGAAAGAAAGAAAGTTTTTGGTGGCATCAGATTCAGCGTCATGTCTGCTAGGAAGTTTGTTGGTGGTGGGCGTGAACGCAGGGAGGATCCATCACCCTCACCTTCTGGCTCACTCTGATGGGGATGAATTCTAGAGGAGAACTGATGGTTTCCTCCTGTGAACCCCCTTTATACCAAAACGCTGCCAATACGCCATTATACAGTAGCTGGAAGCTAGAAACGCGTTCAGCGCTCGTCTGGAACACGTCAGATACGTTGATATGCGTTGGAGAGAAGTTCTAGATAAGTTATGCAGAAGTTAGTCAAAGGTTTAGGATAAGCTGGACGCCACGACTGATGAGGAACTGACACCGAATAAATGTCAACCATCAGATAACTGACGTGGAACTGATGGCCCACGTATGGCAGATGCCGGCATACGGCGGGACCCTGTTTACCAGCCTATTCCAGCATTTTTGCCAGATTTTTCGTAGGTCGCTACGCTGATCTAAATGGCCAAGGGGTGACAGATGCTACTGTAGCATAACGGCTCCTGTCTTGTGTGTCTATCATCCAGTTTGACGGCACCATACTCCTGATAACGTTGCTGGTGTTGTTCCTCCTGCTGGCCCTCCTCTTTATGTGGTGGTTCTGGCCTCTGTGCTGCACCGTGGTAAGAAACTCAGACCCAAACGCCGTTACTCAGGCGGATTGAATGTCGTTATAAAGATCCTTTCATGTCTCCAAACTGTCTGCAGGTGATCAAGGAGCCGCCTCCCCCTCCTCCTCCTGAGCCCGTGAGTCCAAACTTGTGCACACGTATCTATAATATTCACGGAATGCTGCTATTACAACTTTCTTCTGATAATATTATGACTTTATTTTGGCAATGTTACAGATTTATTATTTATTAGGCCCGAGCAGCGACAGCGCTGCTGCGAGAGCCTATTGTAGCCTATTGTATCTGTAGTGTTTATTAGGCCCGAGCAGCTCACCGCTGCGAGAGCCTATTGTTCCTGTACCGTTTATTCTTCTTTTTCTTTTTCTTATTTTTCTCCGCTTAAAAGAAACAGCTTTTTGGAGGCTTTAACATGTCCAAAAACTCACCAAACTTGGCAGTAAATTGTCCCCCTAGTGAAATTTACGTATGATAATGGAATCCAAAATGGGCGTGGCCAAATGGCTCTACAGCGCCCCCTAACGTGAGTTGGGGAAAACCGTAAGTCACAGAGATTTGAGATTTTGCAGGTGCATAGATCTCACCAAATCATGAAAAAAGTTACATTATGGGTATGCTCTAAAACCTACAGGATGTCGGCCATTTTGGCTCAAAGGCCGATTTTTGGCACTTTTTCAATTTTGTTGACGTCGAACTTTCGCGAACTCCTCCTAGGGACGGTGAGCCATCGGCTTCAAACTTGGCATGTATGCAGATAAGGCATGTGAGATCCAAACTTATCAAACTTTTTGAGTTTTCCAGCATTTTAAAGGGGTGTGGCCAGGCCTCGAAGTTGGCGTACTCGCCAACATTTTCAAAATGCAATAACTTTTACATATGAAA